CATTATTTATTCTCAGTGTTTGCTCCAAACGTTTTGATTAAATCACATTCAAACTATCACCAGTTCATCAGTAATGAATCCGTGTCACTGTAACGTGTCGTCATAGAAACACATGAGCGGATTCCACGTCTCAAATCAATCACACGTTTGTTTATATTCACTAATTGGTCTCGTTGGGTTTAACGAGGTGTGACTGTTGTTTATCCTCCAAGAGAGAGAAGAAGAAGAACTGTGTGATTTTATTCAACACTTTGAAAGAGTCTGAGCTTTAATCAATATCGAGTTCAGTGACACTGAAAAGATCCCAAACTGAAACTTTTTCTGTTTCGTTAATGGTGGCCCCAGGGGGAGTGGCCCCAGGGGGAGTGGCCCCTAGGAGGGTCTCCCAACGCTGCCAGGGGCGGGGCCAGAAATGTGTGTGTGTGTGTGATGTTATGTATAAATTGCAGCATATCTGACCTATGAATGTTGTCTTTGTTCTCTACCATCTTCCACAACAACAGGTGCTGCCTATGGTCGATGTGTATTTTAAATGTGTGTGTGTGTGTGTGTGGGTTTGCAGAGCTTCCAGTAGGATTTTGGAGCTTTGCTCTGGAGCCTCGTTGGAATGTTGCCCCTAGTTACTGCCTGACAGTCACCAGGTCCTGTGTGTGTGTGTGTGTGTGTGTGTGTGTGTGTGTGTGTGTGTATTTTTATGCTCTGGTTGATCTTCTGATTGGATCGATCCCTCCAGTTGTTCTCTGAGTGACTCGACCTTGTTACGTGTCGACAGCTCAGATTCAGATTTCGATTCAGTTTAAACCAAATAAAAAAAAACTCAATCTGAATCCACTGAAATTGTCAGTTTCAAATTCAACTTCATAAACTGACTTCGAAAGAGAACTCGCTCGTGTCATGAAGACATGATGATAACGTTTCGCTTCCTCTGAAGAAAGAAAAGAAGCGAACATCACAACTGACGAGAAAACAACACAAATAAGACGTCATGTCAGAAAGAGGAATTCTGGAATAATCCTTGGTGCTCAGCTGTTTTGATTAAACGTGTCAGTGCATGAAATATTGAATATATGTGATCAGCTGACCTGAAACCACAAACTTTAGTCTTTAGTCAGAACCTTATAAATCAAAACGCTTCTGCAGCTGGAAACACTGAGACTGAGCCGAAACAAAACTAGAAGCTAAAAGAGGCTGAAAAACTGAGTGTCGCTGAGTCCGTGATGATTCTGTAGGTTTTACATGACGCAGGTGTTTCTGCAGATGAATGATTTCCTCTGAGATGAAACAAATTCTTTAAGTCAAATGAACCTGCAGCTTTTTTGGAAATCAATAAAAAACTGAAATCTTGGACACATTCGGGGGTCGAGCTGCTCGTCCTCATCTTGCCCCCCCCCCTTCCAAACATAAAAACTCAAAAGGTTTTAGTTTGTCCAGTCTGGACTACTGTAGAAAACATGGCAGCCTCTGTAGAGAGGGTCCCCTCCATGTAAATATAAAGTATTTGAATAT